GAAGGCTGAGTCAACCCTGAGCCGGTGAGATTTGAACAGCTGAACTGCAGATAGCAGTCAGCTGAAGTAGCCTGCAGTGCTGCATTTAACCACTGCGCCACCTCGGCTGATCTAGATGGAACAAAATACTTGGAATGCAAAGATATGAATTTTCTTACTTTTCCTTATCAGACATTTACATCCAGAAGCTGAAGAAATCTTACCTAGACACTTGGTCAAAGCGCCATCTAAGCAGCATCAATACGGAGCTCCAGGATGTTCAGAAGATCATGGTGACCAACATTGAAGAAGTCCTCCAAAGAGGGGAGACCTTATCAGGTACAGGAAGGAGACCTACAGGAAGAGTATCTTAGCTATCTTGAGGGATGTAACTCCAAGAAAAGAAGTGTGATTCTTGGATAAAAGTTTATTGATCTTGAAGGAGTAGAAATGGAAACAGTGATTGGGTGGTGAAGAGCATTGGGATACAAACTGCACACACACACGGACACGCACACACACACATGTATGTGTGTAGAGTAGTGCGGTAACCTAGAGGTGAATCTCTCGCTTCACAATCAGGCTGTGAGTTTGAACCTAGAGAGAGGCAGATATTTCTCTCTCTAGACACAATGGGAATATACAGTATCTACTGTGAATTCCGCATTGGCAACAGGAAGGGCATTGGGCCAGTAAACACTCGGCTTCATTCAGTTTTCCCAACTCCACCTCAATGCAAGGTTCATTAAAAGAATCTATGTGTGTGGGTGCACGTGTGTGTGTAGAGAGAGGGAGGGAAGGAAGGAGAGGGAGATGGAGAGAGAGAGAGAGAGAACACTAGCTTTGCTGGCTGAGGAATTCTGGGAGTTAAAGTCCACAAGTCTTAAAGTGGCCAAAGTTGGAGACCCCTGATCTAAATCTGTCTGGGGAGGCCATTCAAAATGGCTGATGCTGCTCTTGAGCAGCCCCCTTTCCAAACCTTGCCCTCCTTCCTCCTCCTCCTCGAACCCTCAGAAGTGGGGAACCACAAGCAGCTTTTCCTGGCAAGGCTGAATAGGAGGAACGATGACTGAGGCCATTGTGTTTTCTTTGTCTTCTCTCCTTCTTCAGTTCTGGACTCCAAAGCCAGCAACCTGTCCACCCTCTCCAAGAAATACCGCCATGATGCCAAGCTCCTCAACAGCCGCTCCGCTTACGCCAAAGCTGCCGCCACCGGCCTCATCTTCATGGTCCTCCTGCTCTACGTCCGCTTCTGGTGGCTAGTGTGACCCAGTCTCCCCCTCTTGTTTCCAAGGCCCCGTGTGACTTGGGCTTTTCCTTTGAGGAGAAACATGGAAATACCCCCAAAGTTCACCACTCGGGACGATGTTCTTGTTTTTGGCATCACCTCCATTCACGTGGTTGGCCGTTGAATGGCAGTGCAAGATGCCAAGTGGACCTATGACTATTTATAATGGGGGGGGGGGAGGCTGTCCGGCCTGCCTTTCGAAAACAAGGAGAAATTTGTGGCTTTCCATAGATCAGCTTTTCTTTCAAAGCCCTACAGTGTTGTCAACGGCTAGCAGGTTGATAGTGTCATAGGCCCCTGCCGCAATAAATCTGTAGTTTTGTATGTTTTTTTAAATCATACTACAAGTCTCCCAGTCTGTGTTGCTAGCAGCATACCGAGATGTTCTGACACCCCTGCGCCCCCCCCCCCCCCCCTGTGAATAAACCAGAACACAGGCTTGGCCTCAGTTCAATTACTGAGATAACGAATCCTTTGGCTGAGGGCCCAGGCAACTCACGTTCAATAGAGTAGCTCTGCAGCAACCCAGATAGTCCAAACGAANGATCACCTTTTCTGTTCAGGACTCAAGCCATGTGGTCCTCTCCACCATTAAAACCATCTTTCCAAGCAGCCTCCATGTCACCAGTGTCTTTTTCCCCACTTGGAGCCGAACCCAGAAGGACATTTCTTCCAACAAACCTAAAAAAGCTTTTGAGGTAGCAGAGCGTATACATTTATTTACCAAACGATCCAGGTCTGGTGTGTGTGCGCGTGTGCAGTTCGAGATCTTATCTTGGGGTGGATTACGACGTGGCTCTCCCTCTGACCTCTTTGCAGGGGGGGGGGGGAGAGAATGTTCGACAAGTGGGATTGTGACGTCACAAACGGAACGTTCCTTTCTTTTTTAAACGTTCCATTCTACCGCGAAACCGGCTCGAGTTCTAACGAGCGACGTGCAAATGGTTGCGCGATTAAATCGCGGCTCTTTCGCCCCCCCCCAACCGCACCCCAGCCCCCCCAAGACCCACGAGCAAAACTTCCACGCGCGATTAAAAAAGAAACAATGCCACCGCAAAGCGCAAGAGCCGTAATATTTTCCGCAGTTCTCGTTCCCCACGGCATCCTCCAGTCCAAAGACAACCCCCCCCCCTCCACAAAGGCGATCGGCCGAAGCGGAGAGGGGACGATCGGGGAAGGGAAAACTTTTTGCGGTTCCGCTTTTCCGACACACACCAAAAACACACACACACACACACAAGTACGCACCGCCCCGGCAACTTCGCAAAAGTAAACTTCTCGCCTGTCTCGCTCCACCCCCTTTTTTTCCCCCCCAACCACACCCGCCCCCGCCCCGGATCAGCCACGTCAGCGGGAGACTCAAGTCCCGCAAGCAAGACTTCGCGGAGGCGAGGAAGAGGAGGTGGCGGGGGGGTGACGACCCGGGACACTGCCCCCTACCTGCCCTGGGCAAAAGATCCTTTTTCCACCCCCCACCCCCCCTTCTCGCCCTCTTTCCCTCCCCCCTCCCGCCAGCATGGTTCTGCTCACCATGATCAGCCGGGTTCAAGACGGGCTGCTTTTGGCTGCCTCCATGCAAGAAACGGAGCAGGTAAATGGGGAGTGGGGGAAGTGGGGGGCGGGAGAAGAGGGGCGTCCTGCACCCCCACCCCGGCTTCTAACACCCCCTCCGATTGCTGAGCCGCCTCGGTTGTTCCAGAGCGCACCTGCGATTTGCTTAAGAAAACTCACTGTTTTCAGACAGGCAGGTGACCGTTTTTATTGGAAAGAGAATGGATGGGTTTTCTCCCGCGGTTTTATTTGGTTTTTAAAGTTCATTCTGAAGCCAGTAAAAGGCGGCTTTACCAGCCTTGGGGAAACAACGTGCTTGGTTTTATTTAGACGTATCTGTGTGCCCCCCCCCCACCTTCCCTGCTATTTTATTTGCTGTCAATTTGGGGGTTACCGTTTGCCCCTCCCTTAGGCAGAGTTGCGGGAATGCAGGAGAACAGCAAAAGGTGTTTTATTCCTGGCACGTTTTCTTGGCTTAGATTTCTGTTAGGACCCAGCAAAGTGGGCCCTTGCTCTTCCTGGCTAAATGCAGGAAGTCCTCGACTTATGACCAGGGTAGTCTAAATTCAGTTAGTCCTCAACGTACAACCACAATTGAGCCGTAATATTTTCTGTGGTTCAGTCAGATAACGGTGAAGTGAAGTCTGCTCCCATTTTACGAGCTTTCTTGACTGTTAAGTGAATCACTGCGGTTGTTAAGTCAGTGACACGGTTGTTAAGCGAATCTGGCTTCCCCATTGACTTTGCTTGTCAGGAGGTCGCAAAAGGGGATCGCGTGACCCCGGGGGCCCCTCCCACCCGTCCTAAATATGAGTCAGTTGCCAAGCAGCTGAATTTTGATCACATGACTACGGGGATTCTGCAGTGGTTGCAAAAGGATGAAAGACGGTCATAAGAAGTCACATTTTTCAGTGCCATTGTAACTTTGAATGGTCACTAAGCGAACTGTCATAAGTCGAGGACTGCCTGTCCTGCAAAAGCAGAGTGTGTCATTTTCCCTCCTTCACTTAGATTAGGGGAAATTACAGTAGGATTCTCCGGCCTGCTGCTGTTCACCGTTGTGAGGGATTATAATTTCTACTCTGGCTTTTTGAATGACAAACTTTCCCCCCCCACTCTCCTGTATCTGAAGTCAAATAGGAACTTCCAAGAATATCACAATCAAGCCAAGCAGCTTTTCCGAAAACTTGGGGATCATTCGCCAAATCGGTGTTCTCTGCAGGCTGGAACGATGACTTTTCAGTAAGTTTTTCCGATTCATAGTGAGATGGAGAAGAAAATTAGGGATTGAATTTACCGTATTTTTCAGAATACAAGACACACCTTTTATCCCTCTGCTGCTGCAGCTCCCGCCATAATTCATTTCATTTCATTTATTGAATTTCTATGCCGCCCAATCCCGGAGGACTCCGGGCGGCTTACAGAAATGAAAAAAATTAAAAAGAATTATCAATTGGCTCCACAATTGATAGGGCTTTCGGTTAGAACAGGTAGAGGAAAAAGAACGCTGTGCTAGGAGGAGACTCTATGGTGGGGGAACCGGACTTCCGGTTGGCTTCAGAATTAAAGGATGGGAGGTGGGGACTTCTGGTTAGGACCTTTGTGGCTCTTTGAGTGTTTAAGATTGCCGACCCCTGTCCTGGATGGTTGAGAATCTCCATGGACATTACTGTTTCCAAACCTACATACAGGTTTACTACTCAAATCACAGCCTTTCTCTTCTCGTTTCCCTTAATTTCTGCTGCATCTTTTCCCTACAGTTACCTGATCAGCCAGGGGATTTGTTACCTGACACTCTGCGAAGCTAACTATTCAAAGAAGTTGGCCTTCTCCTTTCTGGAGGAGCTGCAAACGGAGTTCTGGGAACTTTACGGGAAGAAAATCTCATCAGTATCGCGGCCTTACGCCTTCATTGAGTTTGGTGAGTGTAAAGGTGAATAGATTTCTGACAAGGAATCCCATCGTACAGAGGTCTGCCACATGGCATCCCTGGACCCCAAATTGTCTGTCCCCATCTTTCAAAGTCATCTGAAGTCTCAAAATGATCCTGCCTTGATTTTCTTGTATGTAAACAGGAGCAAAGACGTTACGCCATGGGTTTTCATGGTCCTGATGTTCTACTCTTCTGCAATATAGATAGTCCTCGACTTACAACCTTTCATTTAGTAACTGCACTGAAAAAAGTGACTTATGGCAGGTTTTCACACTTATGACCATTGCAGCATCCTCGTAGTCACTTGATCCAAATTCAAATGCTTGGTAATTAGCTCAGGTTTATGATAGTTGCAGTGTCCTGGCATCATGTGATTGTTATGGCCGGCAACTGGAGCTGGCAGGAGATTCGGACAGTGAGGAGGTTGGGGAGGATCAGGGGCCAGTCCTGGAGTCTGGGGAAGGCTCTGATGAGGGCTCTGTGTTGGAGGCAGAGAGGGGGCCAGAGCCGTCTGACAGTTATCAGCTGCCTTCAGAGTCATGCATCGGTGAGGCAGATGAACAATTGGAGCCTGTTCCCAGTGTGTGTATGCACAGAGTTGCCAGACAAAGGGAACAGCTATAGAACAGGGGTCGACTTGGGAGTAAGGCCACAGGTGGACGATGAATGGCCCCTCCCAGGGGAAATAAAAGAGGAGCAAAAGGGGAGTGGAGTTTGCAGGAGACAATTAGTTCGCTTAATTGGTTCGTGACTCTCTGAGACTCCTTGCCAATTTTTAAAGTTATCTCCCCGGCCAGATAAAGTCTCTGACTGTAAATTAAATAAAAGAGGTTTATCGGGACGAGGCCTCGGCTTCGTGCTGCTGGGAAGCCTAGGTTAGAACAGTGATCACCCTCTGACAAGCAGAGTCAATGGAGAAGCCAGATTCATTTAACAACTTTGTTACTAACTTTACTGCAGTGATTCGGTTAACAACTGGCGTGAAAAGTTGTAAAATGGGGCAGCATTTTCACAAATGTTTCACTTAGCAAATGTTGGCCTCAAAAGTGTTCGTAAGTTGAGGACTACCATGTAAACAGTGTTCCTAGAATTCTTCCCATGTCTGGTTTTTGACTTGGGCAACCCCCTAAGAGATGATCTTTCCTCAGTTCCCACAATTTCACTGTGTTGGATCAGAATTTCTCAATCTGGTAGTTTAAGATGTGCAAACTTCAACTCCCAGAATTCCTCAGGGTGGGGCTAGATACCCTGGTGCCCAGAGATGCCACGTTGCAGACCTCTTTATGATGGGATTCATTGCCAGAAACATTTCTTAAAGTTGCCAAGATTGAGAAACACTTGTGTTTCTCCTTACTTCCTCCGCGGGGTGCTAAATTTTATCTGGAACAATCATCTCCCAGTTTCCCTTAGATTAGAAGAAGTAAAATAACACACTGCCATCCAATGTGGTTTTCATAAAGCTGTGCTCTAGGCCCAGAATACCCTGTGATGAGCCTTTCCTGTATATTTCTGTTTCTGAATTCCAGTTGTTGGCGGCAGTGGTGAAATTCTTTTTTTTTTTTACTACCGGTTCTGTGGGCGTGGCTTGGTGGGCGTGGCAGGGGACGGATACTGCAAAAACCCCATTCCCTCCCCACTCTGGGGCCAGCCAGAGGTGGTATTGGCCAGTTCTCCGAACTACTCAAAATTTCCACTACTAGTTCTCCAGAACCTGTCAGAACCTGCTGAATTTCACCCCTGGTTGGCAGGGCAGACGAGCAGGGAAGCAGTGTGTAGAGTTATGAAAGTTGGATGGACAGGATCTTGGTCAGACCACCAATTGCCTACATCCCCAACCTCCTGTCCATGGACTGGCACCGATCTGCTACATGCCAATAATTGGGCCGCGCAAACAAGCAAAGCCCCATTTGTGGGATGCAGGCTGCACATGAAACCACACCTCCTCCGGTCCATAGAAAAACCTCTTTAGTGCTCAACAGGTTGTGGGGGGGGGCTCTGGCCTAGATAGCTGAAAGAGTGAAGGCTGCCTACAGTGACAGGCTGCAGATTGATTGAGTTTTCTGGAAAAGGGGTGTGGGTTAGCAGGTAAATTCACCGAGTCGGTCCCAGTCATTATTTCTCATCTTTATCCACCTGTTGGGATTGTGTGAGGATAAAAGGAGGGGGGTTGAGGTGGAAAAAAACTTTACCAATGGAGGAATATTCGTCCAGGGGTCAATTTCTCCATCGATCTCTGGGGGAATATCAGGACCATGGATACTGCAGAAATCAACAAATCCATGTTTAAGCGTGGGTTGCTTTGACATGCTAAAAGGCCAGGGTTAGAACCAAGTTGCTTGCACTGTGTTTCCCTTGCAATCAATGGGATTGATGTTGTCATTTGCCCATTGATTTCAGTGGGACATTCAAATGGAAACACAACTGTATCTAACACTGTATCTAACACAGATTTTGCCCACTGTTGAGATCTTGCTCAGGGGTACTCAAAGTCTTCCCAACTCAGATGCCCTATGGTTGGCTATGCTGTTTGGGGAGGATTCTGGGAGTTGAAATCCAGACCTCTGCCATGAATGCAGGACATGACAAGATTGTGGGATGCCAGGTTGTGGAAGGTGGATCTAGCAATAGCAATAGCAGTTAGACTTATATACCGCTTCATGGGGCTTTCAGCCCTCTCTAAGCGGTTTACAGAGTCAGCATATTGCCCCC